CTGCTGCTGTAATTGTGGCATAGCACATAAGGTCACTCAGCAGAGTCATGTAACCAGTAAAGGGTCCATCTACTCACCACTGGCAGAAAAAAGCCAGAATAACAAGAGCAAGGTGTGATAAGAGATTTTATTATCCATACTAGCAAGGGAAAGAGGGGGTGAGATTGTTTCCAAAAATTTCCACCCTTCAATTTGTGGAGTGAATGCAGGAGTTTTTTGAGAGAGAGGTGTTTGGAATGGAGAGGAATGGGGCCGGGATGGGGTCAGTGGTGGGATTCACTCCAAAAGCTTATCTTGAATTATTGTTCCTTTGGTGACAGGGCCAGTGCCATCCTGGGCCCAGCCAGGTTACAAATAAACTGCAGTCAAACTTGCAGTTAATTTCTAGTGCATGAGCATGAGTAAACATGAGTGAAGGTAGCTGGGAGTAAATTTCATCCCTGACTGGGGAGAGAGTTTTGGAGGTGTACAGTCCATGTCAAGATCCAGCCCCTGGCTGGATGCAGTGACTCACGCCTGTAATCCCAGCACTTTGAGAGGCTGAGGCAGGCAGATCACCTGAGGTCAGGAGTTCCAGACCAGCCTGGCCAACATGGCAAAACCCCATCTATACTAAAAATACAAAATTTAACTGGATGTGGTGGTGCACACCTGTAATCCCAGCTACTTGGGAGGCTGAGGTAGGAGAATTGCTTGAATACAGGAGGCGCAGGTTGCAGTAAGCCGAGATCGCGCCACTGCACTCCAGCCTGGGAGACAGCGAGACTCCATCACAAATACACACAAAAAGATCCAGCCCCTGAAGCTTCTAAGGAAATACATGACCAGATAAGTGAGCATGGTGTATACTTGACAAGCATCTGGGTAAATAAATGTGCGTAAGGCATGGGAGCATGGAATGGGGAAGGGTAGGGAGTGGAGGTTCACAGCCCATTCCTAGGCTGTATGTTAAGATGACAGGAAACACATATGCCGCTTTTCTCAAAGTTGTATCTTGAGACTGGGGGGAAAGAAGGAAAGAAAACAAGGTTTTAAAATGCAGTTTGAGCCGGGCGCGGTGGCTCAAGCCTGTAATCCCAGCACTTTGGGAGGCCGAGGCGGGTGGATCACGAGGTCAAAAGATCGAGACCATCCTGGTCAACATGGTGAAACCCCGTCTCTACTAAAACTACAAAAAATTAGCTGGGCATGGTGGCACGTGCCTGTAATCCCAGCTACTCAGGAGGCTGAGGCAGGAGAATTGCCTGAACCCAGGAGGCGGAGGTTGCGGTGAGCCGAGATCGCGCCATTGCACTCCAGCCTGGATAACAAGAGCGAAACTCTGTCTTGGAAAAAAAAAAAAAAAAAAAATGCAGTTTGAAGCCAAGCTGCTCAGTTACAGTCAGACTACCCGGATTCAAACGACTATTTCTACCACTTCACTGAGAAGCTCTGTGGAACGGTCCAGAACTTCTCTGTTCTTCTGTTTCCTCCTTTTTTTTTTTTTTAAGTAAGACACAGGATATCGCTGTTACCCAGCCTCACCTTGAACTGCCAGGCTCAAGCAAAACTCCCACCACAGCCTTCCAAGTAGCTGAGAGTATAGGCACCTGCCACCACCCTCAGCTGGTTTCCTCATCTTCGAAACAGGAAGGGAAAATAGCACCCACTGTTGGAGTTTTAGGAGACAAATCAACACTCTTTCTGCCCCTTCTGAGTTCAGAACTAAGGACGAAAAGCAGGCGTCAGCCAGGTAGAGATCAAAATGTCATCTTCATTGCTGACAAGAGCTAGACTGGAGGATGTGGTTGAGGTGAAAATACTTTACCCCCAGTCACTAACACAGCAACTGCAGACAGCCCCTTGTACGAGGGCACAGGGTGATCCAACCCAGCACTGTGCCTTCTCAGAAAGTTACCAGTCAGAGAAATCCTCCTCCTGCTCTGGGGAAAAGGAAGATGAAAGCTAGACATGTTACCCCACACTTGGCCCCGCTGGGGAGTGGAGTAGAATCTCCTCCTATCCTTGAAAATATGAGAAGCAAGAATAAGTTATTTTCTCCACACCATTTTATGGGCTCATGAACTTGTTACGGAGATTAAGGAAAAACATAGCTGAAGTATCTAGAATACAGACGCCATAAAGTTTCATCTCTGGCATCAGCTGTCCTGGCTGTTCAGGTCAGCCAGATAGGCAAGGCTGGTTAACCAAGGGAAGTTGTGGTTGAGAAACTGCATGAAGCAAGGGAGTGCTTGAAAGGGGATTTCTCTCTCTTTCTCCTTGTTCCTTACACTCAGGAAACCTTGAGAGTTCCCTAAAGGGAAATGCTGACCAAATACGAACTGGCAAGTCTTTTTTTTTTTTTTTTTTTTTTCTGAGATAGAGTCTCGCTCTTGTCACCCAGGCTAGAATGCAGTGGTGCCACATCAGCTCACTGCAACCTCCACCTCCTGAGTTTAAGCGATTCTCCTGCCTCAACCTCCAGAATAGCTGGATTACAGGCATGCACCACTACACCTGGCTAATTTTTTATATTTTTAATAGAGATGGGGTTTTGCCATGTTGGTCAAGCTGGTCTCGAGCTCCTGGGCTCAAGTAATCAAGCCACTGCCCCCAGCCTGGCAAGTCTTAAAAATGGGGGAAAAACCTCCCAAAACTGTGTATCTTCAATTACACACCAACCCAGTGACTTATGAGCACAGCTTCATGGTCCAGCATTTTGTTTTTAAATGGAGTTTCACTCTTGTTGCCCACGCTGGAGTACAATGGCATGATCTTGGCTCAACCTCCACCTCCCAGGTTCAGGCTATTCTCCTGTCTCAGCCTTCTGGGTAGCTGGGATTACAGGTGCACACCACCACACCCAGATAATTTTTTTTTTTTTTTTTTTAAGTAGAAACGGGTTTTCACCATGTTAGCCAGGTGGGTCTTGAACTCCTGGTCTCAGATGATCTGCCAGACTTGGCCTTCCAAAGTGCTGGGATTACAGGCGTGAGCCACCGCGCCTGGCCGGCCCAACATTTTTTAAGGGTGTGTGTATGCGCTACTTCTGTTGGTTTGGGGTGGGATTTTTTGGAGGGAAGTGGGGAGAGGAAGCCACTGTGGTGTGTTTTTCAAGGCAGCCTCCCTCCTCACCTCTTACAATTAAGCAATTAAGAATCGCAAGCAGGGAAGTCACTGGGAACAAACAGGAACTAGCCCTGGGGAAAGCCCTGTCCAATCACTGAACAAGCAATTCCGTTTAAGGTGAGTGCAATAAGGCAGGAAATAACATGCTGTGTTGACAACACACCTTACTGATAGATTGCAGTTCTGCGAGCAATACATCAGCACAGCCAATCCCAGGTCATCTACCTGATGGAGCAGGGCTGGTTGTGTGGACATCAAGGGAAAAGCCCAGGGGAGCAGGAAGCTGTTGATCTGTAAGCCTAGTGGTTCTCTTCCCTGTGCTGAATCACCTCTTGGTGGGGCACTGAGAAACCACACCTGAGTTTCTAAGACATATGGAAACCCCCAGCAGTCTGGATCTATGACAGGTTTTACCTTTGGTAAACCCTCTTACCAAGACCATTCCCCCTTGGTATTTCCGACTACAGCAATTTTAGCTCCTACTATTTTTCCACTAAGGGGGATGTACACAGATAGCACACGCTTCTGGGCCCGTAAGTTCACTGTGGTTGCATAATTCACACAAAGATTTTCCCTAAAAATTGAGCCTTAAGTATATTGCTAATTTCAAAATAATAATAGCTAATGTTCAGTGAGCACTTACAGTGTTGGGTACTATATTAATATTCACAATAGGAAGTACTATTGTTATCTGCATTTTATAGATGAAGAATTAAGACATAGAGAAGTCGCCGGGCGCGGTGGCTCAAGCCTGTAATCCCAGCACTTTGGGAGGCCGTGGCGGGTGGATCACGAGGTCAAGAGATCGAGACCATCCTGGTCAACACGGTGAAACCCCGTCTCTACTAAAAATACAAAAAATTAGCTGGGCATGGTGGCACGTGCCTG